TTGAGTAATATCCCTATTTTAATCTTGAAAATGAGATGGAAGGAGAGAATGGGAAGGGAGAACCACAGTGCTTCCCTTGGGAGACATCTGGTAGCCCATGCTCGTGTCTGATGCAGATTTCCAAAATGTTATTGCAGATGGATGTGGACTTGGTCTGAAAGATGCTTGGAGCGAGCATTGCTTGGCGCCTGCAATATGGCCTCTCTGCCCCTCTACTCAGTCCATATTTCTCTCTTATTGACAGATTCTTTCATGGAGCATTTGTTCATTGACTTTGGTATTCTCCTTCCTTTAAAAAATTCCTTCAGTTCCCCTGGAAGCAGGCTCCGAGACAAGCATTTGTGTCCATTTGATTTATGGAGAAAGTGCTCCCAGGAGACCCCCAACAATTGCTCAGGGAAGAGAGGACAGGAAGGGGAGAAACCAAGTGAAGCTTCAGGGGAAGTGGCATGGAGGGTGGCTTCAGCCTGACCCCGTGGGGCACTCGGAGTGTGACCACTGCTGCTGACAGGGGTTGGGGGATCTGGGCTGTCCTTCAGCACCAACAGACTGCTACACGCCTCCTCCAGGGAGCATCAACCCTCAGGTGCACGTGGGCCAGGTGGTGTTCGCAACTCAAAGAGAGTTATCTGAGCAAAGTTGCAAATTAGTAAAAAAATAAAAAGAACATAAAAGCCAGGGTTAAGGTACATGGGGTCAATATGAGGGTATGAGGAAATCTGGGTGGAATATCCACACTGTCTGCCACAACCTGCCACCTAAAATACGCGCCTGTCATCCACCTGACCTTTGTAGAGTGTTCTGAATTGTTTGGAAACATCTCAAACTACTTCCTTTAAAAAAAAAAGGGGGGGTGTCATTCAGAATCTACATCAGCCCTCTCTCTAACTTCACTTGTTTTCAAGAATTTTACCAATTTGTGCTTTAGAGTGCCATCTGGAGCAGCTGAAGTTGGAAATGGAATTTTACTCTCTGCTTCCCCCACTCGCCCCTCCCTTTTACCCGAAACACCGGCGTAGACACTGGCACCCGGTTGCCCATGTGGATGGTGGCAGAGTGAAGCCTGATGCTTGGCGTGCTTTTCAAAGAGCAATCCTACTATGCTGGTTTTCTATTCTTAAAAAAAGAAAAACCAGGTAGCTGTCAGATGCGTTGACTTGCGTCTCAAATACTTAGCTCTAAGTAGTTCTGATGCTGAGAAGTCAATGTGTACATTGGCCCGCCGTGTCTATCTTTGATCTCTGCAGATGAATGGTAAGCTTTCATATCTAATGCAGTGATTTCCACTTTGATTTATAGACACATTATCAAACTTAAAGAGCTGTCAGAAGACCCTAAAGACAAAGCTAATTTCAAAATCTCTTGTTATAAAATGTCCCGACTTTGCTTCTGCAGAATTTACTTGAGGCGTTCCTATTCAGTTTTGTTTTTTGTTTTTTGCTTTTTTTTTTTTTTGAGTTGGAGTCTCACTCGGTCACCCAGACTGGAGTGCAGTGGCCGCTCCCGTCCACCGCTACCTCGCCTGCTGGGCTCCGGCAATCCTGCCACCTCCGCTTTCCAAGTAGCCGGAATTACAGGCGCACGCTACCATGCCCGGCTGATTTTTTGATTTATTGTAGAGATAAGGTCCCGCTGCCCAGGCAGGTCTCAAACCCACGGGCTCAGGCAATCCACTCACCTCAGCCTCCCAAGGCACGGGATGACAGGCTGAGCCACCGAGCCCGGTTTTGGAGTCTCCAATAAGCTCTGCATGATGTACTTACCAATGTTTATAGTGGGGGCTGGGAAGGTGCTTTTGCCATCTTCTCTTCCAAAGTTTCCCTGTCCTGACCCTGGAAAATGAGATGAGGGCATATCATGGTGAGCAGGAAGGACATTCTGCAGTCTGATCTCCTCACTCCTTCACTTGTTTTCTGGGTGACCCTGGACACGTCTGCAACCCCACGGGGACTCCTGTGTTACAGGAATTCCTTATCTATAACACCATGCTCTAGCCAATAGACCCTACTTTGTGGCTTACTACTAGTTCCTTCCAGGTGCCCAAGCCCCAAATAAAACTGAACCAAGCTTGGCTTGGTGGCTCAGCCTGCAATCCCGCGCCTTGGGAGGCTGAGGTGAGTGGATTGCCTG